GGGGGGGGGGGGGTGTGGTCCTAGAGTTAGGGCTTCAAGGAAATTGGGCCATGTGGCCCAAATGCTTTTCTTTTCTCTTTTTGGTTTTGTTTTGTTGGACCTCAATTTGAGTCCAGTTTAATTTCTTTTTCTTTTTCTATTTAGAATATAATATAATTAAATTAATAATAGTATTTAAAAATAACTATTTAAAGCATAACATATAATATAATAAATTAAATATTAATAAAAAAATTCAGATTAAAGTTCATTCGTAATTCACTATCCTGCTACAGCAGTTTTGGGGTCGGGCACTCCGCGCCAGTATCTAAGAATGATAACTATGATTGCTACTTTATTTGGGAAAAGATTCTAACAAGAATTAGTATCCACTTTATTGGGAAATCCCACATTGCCTACCTTAATACTTATGCATCCTTTAGAGCCTGTAGCCCATAATTCGTGATTTGCCTATTCTCAATATTCTGGTAGGTATCACTTGTTTTGGTAGACATATCTCTGGAGGGGGGTGTTGGCATTGGGATTGGGATTGGGAAATCCCATATCACCTACCTCAATTCATGGGATGCGACTTATATATCTGTTGGGCAATATCACTTGATGCCAATTGATTTTAAGATGGAATTTAACACGTTGGACATGTTAGAATTTTAGATCAAATAGTTGATATCCTCACGGAGGCACTTAATGGGAATGGCGACTACCTTTGGAATAAGTTGGGCATGATTTACATCTGTGATCCAAATAAAGAGAGAGTTGAAAGTAAAAAATGTATTATCCAGGTGATTAATATGCAGGATAGTATCTGTCTTCTGAACTATCTCCCAAAACATTGTACAGCTAGCCTAATTTACTATAAATACAAAGACCTCACCCACATAGGGCAAACTTTTCCCAAATATCTCATTATTTTACAAGTCCTAAAGCTTATGATCCATTATATTAATTTGTGGGATGGCAAATGTAACAATAATGAAATACAAATTTTACACTACTAAAAGAATCAGTTCACCAAGAGTGATAATTACTGATAACTGAGATTGGGCAAATGCCTTACCACATCTCGACTTGCCAATGTTGCATACATTGCAATGAAACCTGCAGATGGAAGCTTGTAAAGTATATCTCTGAAAAGAGAAATAGGATGCTTAAAAATCTAATACTAATATTTCATTCATCCTACAAAAGCTACCATTTTTTTGCCATTTCATTGAATAAAATTTAGAAAATTAGAATTGCAATACAAAAACAGAAGAAAAAACAGAATAGAGCATTTGCATAATATTGTTTACCACTGTATCTGCCCATCAGCTTGACAATTCCAACTCCATTTTCGACACTCTCAACCTCCACATGTGCAGCGTTAATGGCTCTCTGGGCTTCTTCCACAGCAGTATCAAATCCAAAAGATTTGTCTATCACCTGGAGCCAAACAAGCAAAATAACATAAAAAATGCTTCCTTTGTCCAAGTATATATTTATTTCATAAATATTATAAATGTTATATGGACAACAAACAAATGTAATATCTCCAAGCCAAGACAGTAGACACATGATTGCACACACACCTACAGAAACGTAAACATTGATCTCTGTCTTAACCAAATTCTTAGACAAAGCAGAATGCTATTAAAAGTAGACCAGTGTTCCGATATAAATGACTAGCTAAAATTACTGAATTACATATGATACACCAAGACAAACCTCACGTAAAAGAATTAGTGTATAATATATCACAAATAAAACCAACAAAAACTGTTCCCGTAATACAAATGAACAAGAAATATTCAGAAGTTTTGATCTTTACAGGGTAGTAGAACGAAGCATGAAAAAGAAAACCAAATTATCAAAAGAAAATCTACATCTTTTATGATTTGTTATCATCTTGCATTTTATCTTTCCTTTCTTTCTTCACAAATTTCTTGTTAGGAAAAAAAAAACTAATAGTCAAAATCATTTTGCAATATAATTCGCAAACTAAATTTAACTGAAAGAAATTAGTTTTTCAAACATAGCAGATTTCTGAAATACAAACAGCATAAATATGAATTGTAACAAGATTCTACCATATTTGATTCCTCGATATATTTTTAAGGTACCATATGATAACCACTCTCACTAAGATCTTTACTTGACAAGCATTGAAAGAGAGAATGACAATTAATATCCAACTCCCCAACAACCAAACAAGAGAATAATAGAAAATGACTCCAAAAACAGTGTATTGAGCCATCCTAGTGAAGCCAACAGAGTGTGAAATTGGTTGATACAAGTCATACAATAGTGTAGAAACCCACTACTCCTTTTCATGTAAATCTCTTCAAGCTCCCTGTTTTGATTCAGAAGAGAAGCAGGGAATTCAGTAAACATGCCACCTTTAAATAAGGAGATTTCAAAATTCTAATCTGCTCAATCTTTACTCTGATCAATTCTAGTTTAGCCCTGAAATCTACCAACTAAATACCTACCAAAAAAATGACAAGGGAATCAAGTGATAGCTTCCTTCATCACTAGTAAAATCTATTACAAGCAAACCTTTATCATCGACAACCAGTCAACCAACCACAATGGACTCAACCCAATGCCATTGATTACTCCAGGTAGTCTTTTTCCTTCCTTAAGGGTTTCACTTCTTGCCACAGAATCTCTATTCTCCAGTGACAAATTCTTCAGTATAAAATACATCAAAAATGTCTTTCAATGTTAAATTTTAAATCAAATTGGTTCCAATGCCATTTTTGGCATCATATTCATACTCCAAAGGACATATGACATTGGAGAACTAGTTTGCACAGTTGCTTCATTATATACAAGTTGGATCCCCATATGAACTTGGTCTATTTTTGTTATGAATTAATCACGTAACTGAGGTCAAAGTTGGATTTTATAAGCCCCATTAATTTTAAAATGACGAAATCCTAGGAATTTCAATTTTGCTTTGCAGTTTGCAATTTTTGGAATGCCCTAGTTTTAGGAAAACTTCATCAGATTTCCAGTAGAATTTTCCTTTGATTTTGGTACATGATTGGAAGGCTTGCAGCTTGCTAGGTTGGATAGCCATCCTGTGCATTATTCTAATGTCTTTGCCCTGGTTTTTGGGTTGTAACATGTTTTCATTATTCCATAAAACAAACCCAGACCAAATCTGGCTAATGATTAAAAATCTCCCTGTAAGAAAAAAAGTTCAGAATATATTATGGCTAAGAACTTACAGCAATATCATTATCAATTGTCTTTGGAATCCCAGCCACAGCGACTTGAAGACCACGCTTTTTAACTTCCTTCATAAAAAGATGATTATACATCATTATTCCATAAATAAACTACAGGATTGACTATTTGAAGACAATAATTAATTGTGTTCAAGTAACCAATTACCTCATAAATGAGTGCAGCTCCTCTTTGAGTACCATCACCTCCAATAATGTATACCTAATATACCCAGACCAAATCTCGTTTAGTCCAGATATCATGTACATAATTTATAGAAAAATGAATACAATTTAACTAGTATCCACCTGATTTATTCCCCGGTCCTCAATGTTATCTACTATCTTGTGTGTATCATGTCCTCCACGAGATGTGCAAAGAAAGGTGCCACCACGTTTATGGATATCATTAACCACTTTAGGATTCAATATCTTGGTATTTTTTGAATAAAACCCTTTATATCCTCCCTAAATCAGTTTCAAAATTAATGTGATGACAAATAAGAACTTGTCAAAAGATCATAAAATAAAGGCAAATGCTAACCAACGACCAAGGGCACTGGTTAATGAAACAAAATAGAGTATTTACTATCTATTACATTGAAAATACATATTCAGTTAATAATTTCCTTTGAAGTAATTAAAATCATTTAATAAGGTGTATTTAAAGATTTAGGGCATTGGCTAGCAAGACCCCAAAATAAACTGCAAAACTATGCTCGGAGTGGTAATAACATTTAAAAACTCAAAAAAGACAGTTGAAATTACAAGTAACGATATGAAAATAAAAAGTTGATAAACTATAATTCTATAAATGATATTCCATCTCATTCACAAATTTTTTTTTAAAAAAAATCTAATAAAACAAGAATTAACAAACAAACAAGAAAAAAATGTGGTTCAGAAATTGTCACAAGGGAGATATAAGGAAAGAATGCTAAAAGACATCAGTTCAGACAATTTCATGTATATCTGTATCAGAAAAAGAACTATGTTTAAAAATCCATAAGTGAAAATCAACAGCAAAGTTAAAAAAAAAAAAAAAAAAAAAAAAAAAAAAAAAA